TATAGTATATTTAGTTTGTTATTGAGTTTATTTATACTCGCCATTGGTAACCCATATGGGAAGAGTATTAGTCATTTTATAATTTGGATGATAATGGAAGATGCAGACACAGAAAGATGCCCCAATTTTCAGAAGCTTAACGTGCCAATCTCATGCGAAAGACTGATGAGTAATTTTATTTGGCCAACCCTGGAATCGAACCCACAATGTCGAGATTACAAGTCTCGCGCATTAAAAGGTATAACTTATCATTATGTTTATGTTATATACAGTGTGTTCTAGGAGGTGCCCTACTGCGTTTATATTTAACGTTGTAAGGGTTTTTAAGGACAACTGTGATTTCCTACTAGCCAGAATAGTTTTCCTTTGCTTAAAATCAAAGGTGTTTTACTTACAGCAGCAAATTTAAGGGAAGGAATACCCCAGTACACACCAATCGGACAGGAGTAGAGGAACCGTTGTTTTTTTTTGCTGTTTTTTTTTTTCAAACTTTGTTGATTTCATATAATGACACTTTGTATGACAATTTCATGGCTTCCTGGTTATTCTTTAATACTTTAATCTTCACTTAAACGTCCTAAATATCTGTCGTTTGCAGACATTTCGGACATTTAACCCTTTTGTCGCAACTCCTTCTTTCCACAATGTTTCCGCATGTATTTTGTTTACACTTGACATGACCCACCGGTTTTACCATAAAAGCCTCGTAGCCTTGTGCTATATTGAACCCAATGACAAATTCTACTCGATGGCGTCTTGAATGCCGTTATCTTTCAGTTTCAAACTCTTTGGGACATAAATGTATCTTTAATGGTTCTCTATTTTCTGGGTCGGCTGCAGGTCAAGATCGATATGACCATTACTTAGGTCTATATTATTAGGGGAGGGCAATATTGGTACCTAACCCTTTATCTCAAGAGCGGAGTTTTGTTTGTCTCCTTTCGCAATAAATGGAAGAGATTCTGCATCCGCCGTGAAATCTCGCTACCAGGGAGATCAAGGGCGGGTCGAATCGTGCGGGCAAAGGCGGACCTAGCCACTCCAGGTTTGGTTTAGATGGATTTTTGCCAATAATTTCAGCAATGTCGTTTAAACTCTTTGCAAAATTTTTGTGCACTTGCGCTGGGGACTTGCAGTGGGTTGCCGCAAAACTGGCGTTTGGCCATAGGGGTGTTCCAAAGCCAATTAAACTTGTCAAAACGAAAATAATAAAACTTCGCGTAGATTCTTCGCCTTGGATTTTTTATCTTGTTGAGCATTCTCGTGCCAATTTTCTACATTTTCTAAGAACCTTTTCAACAGAATACCGTTCTGAAAACAAAGGGTGTCGTATTGCCATTAACCATTCGCGATAATCTGAATTTATATCTTTGTCACGAAAGTAATCCGTTTTGAAGTTCTTTTCGTAGCAGCTTACTACAAATTGTACCTCTGGTTCTGTCTTCAATTTCTCTATAGTTCCATGGGAAGTTTTTGAACCATAAATTCTTTTGAGCTTGCCAATTTTCACAGCGGACGTGCTCTTGATGTGTTCAAATCCTTTTTAAACGAAAAATGTCCAGGACTTTTTGATTCCATTATATCCCATGTATATTTCTTGCAGTGGTTGGCCATTAACTTCCATGCTGTTTCTATCAGACACATCACATACTTCACAAATTTCGTCGAAAAGAGTTCCCAGATTTGCAAAGCAATCGTTGACAAATTCCGCCAAATCACAGTTGTCGTCATTTGCGTCATTTGCAAATTTTTCTAAATCGAAGAAGCCGCCTTTCTCTTTTATAAAACGACAAAACATAAGCCGTATCTGAATTTCACCTACAAATCCTAGACAGTCTTCATTCCCAGGGGACATTACTTCTCTGTTTTTTGAAAACAGTAAACAAGCCAGTTGAACGTCGGGGAGAAGTTTTTCGACAATAGCACGGAACTGGTCGTCCTCAATCGGTATAGCAGGTCTGTCAGTGCTACATTTACCCGTGTATTTGAATACCTTTTTAGACAGCATATTCCCATACATATGGCAAATATTTCGTATGTCAAGTGTCCCTGGAGTACGGAATTCATACAATGGATTTTTATTTCATCAAAAGTATCGCTGAGTTCAATGTCATAGGTTTTTCGGGGAAGGTTTTCTTCTGGCTTTCCTTTCAAGTCTCTGGTTGACAATATGATGTAAGAGGGTCGCCTCATGTGCCGAAATTGCGCTCTGAAAGGGAACGGTATGTAAAGCTGCTTTAAATGTCGAAGTCTCTCTCCGAGAAATGGAGCGCTGGACTTCTCCGCGTTTTCCAAAATGCTGGTTGAAAACAAGGCTTACTTTTGGGACCTTTGAAAAGTGTTCTTTTTGGGTTACGTCCTCAGTACATCTCTATGTTTCCGGTAGTGCATGAACGTGTTGATCAACAATTTTTAGATTCAAATTTCAGTATGAAATTTTCCGTTGCTTATTTTTCCAACAGTACTCTATAAATTCAGGACAGATGGTACCAAGTAATTTCTTTGCTTCAGAGCACAAATAAGGTGATGTAGGTCTCTCAATACTGGTTTCCCTTGTCAAAATCTGGTCGAGAATTTCCTTTGCTATGTAATAATGGCTTATTCGTACCGTATTTGTTCTTGATTCGTTTACTCCACTAACAATAAGTTCTTGCATTTCTTGCGGGAAGTCTTCCTTTCCAATGATATTTTTCTTATCTGTCTTTGTCTGAACAATATCGGTAAAGAAGTGACAAGGAATTGAAGAATGGCCATAAAAATAAACAAGGGACAAGTATTCAAGAGACTTTTGCCATGGTAGCAGTTGATCGTCCCCAGTTTTTAAAAGCCCTAAATATCCATTGACGTATGCTTGTATTCCTTGATATTCGTAACTGTGAGCAGCAAGTCCAAATTCGAATATCGTCCTCGTCTTGTCATTTTCAACATCTTCAACAAGCTTTTCCACGTTTTTACGTCGCTTTTCATTCTCTATATTCTCACATTTCACAATCTAATATGTTTGCTTCTTTTTCGTTTCTTGATAGCCTTTATCACATAACTCTAATGTGGTGCTTCTTCTATATATTCAACAATCATTCCATTCACCAATGTACGGTGTTGGCTTTCCCAAAACATGATAATGGCATATTTTCATACGGGGTTCTGAAAAGTTTTCTTTAGAGAATGATATTCTCTAATGTTCGTCTTGTCTTCTGACATCCGTAAATGACACCAGGAGATTTTGTAATGTCACTTCTCAAATAAGTGATCTTTTCGACGAGATCCGTCACAGACGAACCAGAATTGTGTTTAACTTGTGCACATGGCACAGTATCTTTTAGGGCCCAAAGAATGCTTTGGGAAAGCGTTGTGCCTCCGGCGCCGGGTGAATGCTGTAACGTAATAGTTTCAGATTTGCGGTTCTTTATACATCCCTTGATGGTTTTTAGTATCGTGTTCATTACATCTCTCTGGATTTCAGCATGTCCAGGGCCAACTGTGTACCACCAAAACCATGGTAATGTTCCTCCCTTGTGAAAGTTGTCTACTTCGTCCTTCATCTCATCTAACGTGAGTTCTACTCCAGTTTTATTATCAGTATAAAGGATTTCAAAGTCTTCCTTCAACCACTGTGCTTTTACCTCTGATATTCGTGGATCATTCGTTTTGTCTTTAGTTGGCAGGAAATAACCTGGTGACTCTGTAAATTTATCCCTTCTCACACTTGTTATAGCATGACACATTTCTTTAAACCCAAGTTCTATTACCTTAACTTCATCTTCTTGTCTAAGAACATCTAAGTTTAGCAGTGAACTATCGCATTTCTCTGTACAAGTATCTACGATAACTACAGAAGAGCCCATACTAGTACAAACGTTACTCATAACAAATTGTGCACATTTTGCTATATTTGGATCAGAGGGCCAAAGGACAACAAATGTAAAATTGGTTACACCTATTCCAAAATGTTGTAAAAGCATAATTTTATTATCAATTTCTTCCTTCATGATTTTTTTCCAAACATTAGCTTCATTAGCGGTTATTGTATCTGGTCTGTCTACACAGCCCATCATAAATATCCAGTTAGTTTTTTGCTCTGAGAATGTAAAGGTTTCTTGAATACTACCTATATGTAATAATCGACGTTTGTTGAGCGTAGACTCTACGCTTGACAAAAGTCCCCTGGTTCTACTTTCTTGATCAAAATCTAATACAGCAGTCCATTTTACTAATGTTAGTGAATCTGCGTACTCAAGTTCGGTCTGCTTACCAGTTACTAAAATAAAATCACCTCTGTCAAACCTGTCAACAGCTTCGAGGAAAGAAGCAGCTTGCTCTCTTTGAAACTTTGAAGTTGTTACTGACTGCGCCTCTTTTTCAGTATCCGGTGTGTCTGTTCTTGTATTTATATTGATGGTCACATTTTCTGCATTTATCTGTTGGTTGATACATTTTACTTCACCCGTGAGGGCTTCTGCATAGGTCTTATGGTGTGCTTCTGAGGTTGAACTAGAGGCACCGGGACATGCTCCTGTTTGAAAATAATTACAGTGATATTAGTGAATTACATTTTACATGTACATGCAAATATTATGTTACGTTTATAAATCTCTTTAAATCATGTGAAACAAAACTACATTATATTTCAGTTTTTATGTATTTTTTTACAATTTTGAAATAGTAGAGTCACTGGAGTGCAAGGAAAAGCAAACAGATGCAAAGTTTGATGAAACAGCTCGTGAAATATGTACAACACCTCTAATGCCACTTTTGGCTGCTTAGGCAATATTTCGTTTTCAACTTTAAACGTTTTTGAATCAATGATATAAAAGGACCACAAAAACAAAACACTGAGACGAAGTCATGAGATGCGAAATAGCACCTACTTTATGTATAATTGATACATAACATTAATATATGCCAACGTCTTGATAGATTATTAAATAAGTTAAATTTCCATTTAGTTTTTCATACTGAGTTTTTCAGTTAGTCCAAATATAATAACGTTACAAACTTACCTTCAGTTGCATATTCTACATCACTTGAAATTCTCCTTTCGTCTTTTATAACATTTTTATCACCAATCTGAATATTCGTGCCTGATATAAACTGCGTTACAGACGTTTCACTTTGTCCTACAATGTAATCATAACCAATAAATTTATCTATTACTAATTTATATTGTTATTGTCATGGTGAACTTTTTTAATAGAAAATTAGATATGTACATAGTAACACTATTTTAAAAGGCATGTTTCGAGTAACGGTCTTTTCTCTTATCACAAAACTGATCAATAAAATCTTACTTTATACTCAAGCAAAAAAAATATAATTGTGATATCCTTTAAAACATAGCCAATGATGCATATCATTTGCTAGAAGATATTAATATTTTTCTATATTAATTATGTAGGAATATTACAGAACATATTTTCAGATGATTACTAGTGTGTAAAAAGTAATTTGGCGACCTATGTCTTCATAGCAGATATATATTCGTGTGTATTTATGTGTTTTTCAATCTTTGATTTAGTAATTTATATAAAAAAAATTTGAATTTGTTGTTCAAACAACTAATTTGTCCAACTGTAACTAATAGCGTAAACTTTTCCTATCAACATTTTTTATATTGTTAAAGCGGCATAAATATTTCTACCAACCACCATATTCTCTGGGTTTTTTTCGACATATTTTATACTATCATATTCAGTTGATTATATAGGTAGTCTGAAAAAGTGCTTTGATATATTTTAAAGTACAGAATTTCGATATCCTTTCAGGTACATCAACAGATCAAAAATGCATGTTTATTGCCAAGATTGCCAAAAACAATATGTATACTACATGTAGTATTTACGTAAATTATATATCAGTATGTCTGTTTTTCAATCTTTGATTTAGTAAATGTTTCGCTTTTTATAAAAGTTTCTTTTCCCCTTTTCTTTTTGTTAAAGTATCTTGGGCCCCCTTTTAACGTTTTTTATTTACATACAAAAGTTTGTTTTATATCAGCTTATAAAGATTTTGATTATCCCTTTCAATGTTGATTTTTTTTAAACCAAATTATCTGGTATGAATGTAAGAATGTTACCTTGTACTTCTGCTTCATCTGCTGCTCCTTCTGCCCTTCTGATTCCTGGATTACCATCACTTTCAGACAAAGCTATATATAAAAAATTAAGTCAATGGAAATTATCAAAGCTTTGTTTGTTTGGGTTTTAGGGGTAGGAGGGCTCTACTTATGAAATATACATTGTGTTTGTAATGTAATCACTGTAGTTTATTCAATATAATTGTCTAATATTTATATAAACATCAATTTTCTAATAACAAAATACAAAACAAATCTAGCTTTTCCACTTGTATGAAACTACATTGTTTTGATATTTTATTTAAGCACAGTTATATACATCAAAAAATGAAGCTTTAAGAAATAAAATATGATGAATGCCAGTTATTATTTCATTTTATAAAGTTATGATGCAGCGAAGCCAAAAGCAAATGTGTTAAAATCGGCGTAAAAACCAAGACAAACAAAACAAAACAAAAAAAAAAAAAAAAAAAAAAACAACAAAAAACAGAAAAAAAACACACAAAATAAACAAATCAATGAAAAAATGTAATGGTGTAAATGTAGATATTGTTTACTTAAATTTGTTGTGGACGTCAAGTTACATTAAATAAGTTTTGCACCTACCTCTTCCTTGTTTTCTTTTCGATTTCTTTGATGGCATATTCTTGTATTATCGTGATGTACATTTCTGTATATAAATGATAAAATTAGTGAAAGAAGCTCAGAATTTTTATTTTCGTCTTTATCTTGATAAAAGTTATTCTGATAATATATATAACAATTAAGTTTATAAAAGACTCTTGTGAAAACTGTGTAAATGATTTATTGTATCATAGATTGGGGACCTTTCTGTTGTTAAATCGTATACACATACATGCACAGTGCGTTAACTGGAGTGCAGGTATTAGTTACCCGCACCCCAGAGCATGCACATTGATTGGTTCATTGTTGCTGGGGTTAACATATTGTGGCGGCAGAGAAAGTGAAAGCGACAGAAATATCATATTCAGATGCTCGTTCATTGGTTACCTTTTTCTGGGGTTTCATATTGTGACAACAGGGAACGTGTTTTTATGTTTGACTATGATACAAAAAAGAAAGAACATCAAAACACTCGGCAATCTGATTTATACTCGGGGGCTACGCCCCCTCGTACAAATCAGATAGTCTCGTGTTTCGATGCTCTTTCTATTACTTGTATTTTCGTTAAAATGGTCTAATTTTAAATTTCAAAAATACTTACCAGTTAATTGACCTATATTTGTATGAAAACTTTGAAAAATTTACCATTTTATTTCTTTTCTTGTCCAGCCTCAGTTTTGATCCTCCGATCCTTTCACAAAATAATATCACTCGAAAGAAATCATCGGAATTGTTATAGATAGGAAATTTACGTATTAACTTTAATTAAAATTCGTACTTGTCTCTCAGTCCATTACAAAAATGGCTGTGCTAGTTTCGTTTTAATCATTTTTGGAAAATACAGAAGTCTATTTTCGTTCTTACAGATAGTGTATCGATTTTATGGCAAATTATGTAATGCTATTTACGCTTTAAAATATAAGTAATTTTGCTTTATATTGCCTCTTTTAGAGTATGTTGACAAGATACACAAACAATTAAATAGTTAGTGTTCGACATACGTGTATATAATACTTAATATTTTCATTTAATATTTTACATGTGTAAATAATGCACATTCTGCTAATGTTTTAATATGGTGTAGTGTACTTAAAACTTAAATGTTTGTGTTTTTATTATCACACTTTAAAGACAATCTTATGGTTAAGTCTAACAACTGCACTTCCTTTTTATTTAGATGTAATACATGTGTTTCTGAATTTATTGTATTAGGTATTTTCATCCCTAGTGTACTTTAATATTCAAAAGAAGCTTGTTATTTCATTTTTATTTCTTATTGATTGATTGATTGATTGATTGAATAATTGATTGATTGATTGATTGATTGATTGAATGAATGATTTTGATGTCTACTTTGACGTGTGATCTCTTTATTGGCGACGCCGGTGAGCGGCGTCGTCTATTATGGAATGCTTTTTATTTTTGCCTATGGAAGGAGCTGTTATTATTAGCAGTTAATTTCATGTTGTGTTAATTAGTTTTATTTTGATTCGTTAAAAATCAAGTAAACAAATGTGTTGTTATATTTGTATTTAATAACTTTATGTAAAAAGCATGTGCATTGTGCTATTATTTTCACGAAATTGCAGGTTAAGTTTAACAGCTTGTTTGTTATCTATAATAGCTTCAAGACAGAAATACGATGCATCAATAAGGGAGATAAGTCTACAAGGCATATATATATACTACGGTATCATTTATCTCCCCTTTATGCCGTACTTCATATGGTTCACAAAATGTGCATCGGTAAAAAAAGATTTGCTGCTTTCCGGTTTAACATATGTTGTTTTAAGAATTCCAAATAAGGACCATATAGAACGGTAATTAAGTTTACAATAATTTAAGTTATTTTTTTTTTATAAAATATGAACTATCATTGAAAAACTCAAAATGTTTTTCGAACCTTATCGTATAGTTCCTTTATAGAGACCTATTCATGCATTGTCATGTGATGCAGTTTTTGTTTTTGTTTTTGAGAACTTGTCGTGGTTTTAGGTGTGTTAAACATTTTATGTGAGGATGAAGAAAATGACTTAAAATAAGCACAAAACACTATACAATGAAACAAGCTTGATTTGTGATGATGAAAAACATAGACACAATCCCTTGTTCGTTCATTTCTTTAGAAAATCACCAACGGATAGAGGCAATAATGGTCCATATGCATATTGTGATCCATATGTGGATAAGTGTTCCATATTCATTGAAATAGGTGGACTACTAGCAATCGAAATAAGGGCACGCGGCTACGATGTGTACAAGGGAGGGGTCTCCCATCAGGAAAGTGAGAAACATTTCTGGCATAACCATTGAGCTAAATTCATAAAACGTTCATTGACCACCTATAGTGTGTAGAATTTTAAACATAACACATCTACTTTGTGTAAAGTCAAAACTTTAATAGTTGATATTTTTTGTTTCACTGAATAATTACAGAGACATAGATAACAGAGATAGGCAACTTCCTAGCTAGCCAGTTAAAATATCACGCGTGCCTGCTTACCTAAAATTTGTAGCAAGTAAAATTTATTAACCAGATATCAAAATCAGTAAAATAATACATTTCTGAAAGCTTATGCATTTGTCTATGGCTGCAGGTAAAAATATTTACAGTTTCCATTTAAAAAATGTTACATCATTTTTTTTAAAGAGAACTACTTAATAATTTTTGTTACAAAACTATTCATATGACAAAAAACTGGCTCAGTGGGTATGTTCTGCCGTGTTTTTCTAAGTGAAAGGCACGGAAAAGTACCAATATTTTAACATGCAGCAATAGATAAAAGATTTCCCTTTCAAATGGTATATAATATTAAAGTATCAAATGTACATCCATTAAGTTTTATTTTCTACAAAATAACTAATTTTTCACTTTTTGATAGGCATGAGTGATATTTCAATGGAGCTGATTATCAATGTTATCTCTGTCTCTGATAATTATTCCAAAAATGTTTGTGCATACAAATTTCTTTCATTGCCTTCGGTCCCCTAGCTTCCCCTCCCCTCCCCTCCCCACCACATCCCCCTATTCTATCCGTTCCTCTGTTTGAAGAAAAATTTAGTGGTATTCAACATAAAAAACTACTCTCTTGAGAAAACCCCTACAATTTGTCAAGGTCTCAAAAGGGCATGGATTATTGACTAAGCGTCTGTGTTACAGAGACGAACCAAAACAGAAGGTTAGATTGTTTTTGCATTTAAATTGCCAATGTTTTGCCTGACTTGAATTTAATATCTTAAACGTACTTCAACACAGAAAAAGACAATTATACATAAACGACCTAAAACAAATTTTTAAAACATACTTTTTATAATTCTAGTAGATCTAGATATGTATGGAACACTATCGAAATTCTTCCAAGTCTTAAATTGTTTACATTTATTATCTAAAGATGAATTATAAACAATATACCCATAATATAATATTGTGTCTATCTTCTTTGTTGGTTAGGCAGGGTTCCCTCTGGGTCAATTTTAGTTTGCGCCACCAACTTTGCCAAACAGAAAAAGTTGGAGCCAATGGCCCCAAAGTTGGAGCCATTATCCACATACTGCCAGTTTTCAATCACAACCACTTTTCAATCATCTCTAGTAATTTTTTATTTTTGACCTTATTTGTCATGTAACCAAACTGTAAGCACATCTTGTATTCACCTTGACTAAATTTATCAGCAGCAATGTCAATTATGGCGATAAAAAAAGAAAATGCTAGCATTTTAGTTCAAAATATGTAAAATGTGTGTTTTCCACTAATCCTTTATTTACCCAGTTACAAATCGCAATAATTTTCTAAAAATAATTGATTTACAGACTCAGTTTTTTGTCAGTCTGCAGAAATGGATATTAAGTTGGACAACTGTTTCAATATCATGAAGTCATAATGTATACTGCACTTCAAAAGCTGTAATTTTAATATGTACATATTTTACCATACTGTTCTTAATTGGAAGGTAATACATCAGTAAAGTAACAGTCACTTAACCAAGGAAAAGCATTCTCTGTGATAACTTTTCAGTAAGCAGTCACTAGAATGGGGTCATATAGACCCTAAGATCCTAAAAATTTCACAAGAACATGCTTTTTCTGTTATGCAAATTGAAATGTACATTCATACCCCAATTGTCACAGCTTTACCACTGCAAATAGATATCTAGATTGAAAAATGGCATTATAATTAGGTTAAAATTGTTTATTACCATTTATCTGAAGTTGAGTGTGTCAAAATTTATCCAAAACACAGAACTAATTATATTTTAACATTGTATGACAATTTTTATGTGGTACAGTTTATATTTTGTTAACTGATTGAAAAGTGGTTGTGAAATTTTGAAGAACAGGAAAATGGGTCAGTAATGATTTGTCCTCTATTCATAGTAATAATTCAAGTAAAATTTTAAAAAGTTGGTGCATTTATTAGCTGAAATGATAATATTCGCAGAATTGAAAGAGAATTTTTTTATATATAATTTCACTTTCAGTTATTGTTGAAAAATCTGTTAGCTGATCGGAAAGAGGCAGTACGGGGATAATTCTGCAAGGAAGACATGCCTATCTTTGTTAAGATATGCTAGACGTTACATATCATTGTGAATACAAACACATCATATTTAGTCTTATAACATCAGCGTTTCTGTTAGTACATCGTACACTCCAATCCAAGTACTAACGGAAAATCTGATGTTATAGGACTTATATAATATTTATTTTATTACAGCTGTTATCACATACCCAAGCCGTTTTTGCGACCTCCGTAAAAATGGTATTGCACAGCTGGCATATATTTTGATGTAAATTGTACGTCATTTGCATTATACAAACATAGTGTAATTTACGTTGTAGTGGCGACTTATAGGGATCACTTCTCTGTCGTCTGTCTGTCCGTCTGTCTGTCCGATCAAACATTTTGGGTTTAGGGGCTATATAACATTAAAGAGAACAAAAGAGAACAATAGGTTCATTACCTGATCAAAGGGTTTCGGGGCTAGAAGCCCTTAAGAAAACAAAAAAAATAGCCCCTAAAGCCAAAATGTTGGAACGTCCCACAAAACTTGTCCGGAACACTCCTCATAAATTACTGGTGCAATTTCATCCAAACTTTACAGGAATGATCAGTACCATGTCTAGTTGTGCATATTGTCAGCATTTTCCGGTTCAATGATTTATGTCAGAGTTATGGCCCTTTAATAATTTTTATTTTTAAAGTTTGTCCGGACTACTTCTCTTGTACCACTAATGCAATTTCAATGAAACTTTACAGGATTGATCTGTAGCTCAAGTCCTTGCGCATATTGCACGGGTTTTCCGGTTGAATGATTTTTGGCCCAGTTATGGCCCTTTGATAAAAAGGTGTTTTTAGCTCACCTGTCACAAAGTGACAGGGTGAGCTTTTGTGATCGCTTTTCGTCCGTCCGTCGTCCATCCGTCCGTCTGTCCGTCCGTAAACTTTTACTTTAAATGACATCTCCTCATAAACCACTAAGCCAATTTCATCCAAACTTCACAGGAATGTTCCTATGGTGGTCACCTTTAAAAATTGTTCAAAGAATTTAATTCCATGCAGAACTCTGGTTGCCATGGCAACCGAAAGAAAAAACTTTAAATATCTTCTTTTAAAAAACCGTAAGAGCTAGAGCTTAGATATTTGGCATGAAACATCTTCTAGTGAGTGTCTACCAAGTTTGTTCAAATAAAAGCCCTGGGGTCAAAATTGGCCCCGCCCCGGGGGGTCATTGATTTTCCCTATATACATATAGTAAAAACTTAAAAAATCTTCTTTTAAAGAACCAAAAGAGCTACAGCTAAGATATTTAGCATGAAACATGTTCTAAT